TATTAGTGAGCAAGACAAGGGAACATGGTGTGGCTGTGAAAGGAAAGTATTTTGGCTTAAAATGAGTTATGGATTTTCGGCCTTATGCACACAATCAAGAAGGATAATTTGAAACTTAATATGAAGATATTCTAGGCTGTATTTGGTGGATTGTTTTCGGCCTTTTGTAGGGGAAAAGGTGAGGAAGGTACACTGCATGTTTGGTTGTGAAATTAGTCAACAAAAGGAGAAACTTTTACTATTCAACTTTAGACTCTTTTTGCTGATTTTTTTTTTCTTTGTGGTAAATGGTAATTTTGGTTGGATTTTAAGAACCAAATGGGGCTGGAATTTCATCCCTATGTAGGAACAAGAAGGGAAGTGTGTTATTTGATTATTTAAGGCTTTAAAAAAAATAAAAGTGGTCTTCTTATTTTCGGTCAAGGGACTTAAAATAAGTGGAGGAAGACTTTATTTGAAAGGAAATAAAAGAAAAGGCATTTTGGATGTTTAGGGATGGTTTGAGGTTTTGGTGGAGCTATCCAGGGGTATAACAAGTATAGCAATCGGGTAGTAATACGTCAAGCCGCCGACGGGCTGCATGAGTGTTTTGATTTTTTATAATTCAATGAGTTGAAATCTCAAGTAAAGAAAGACATACCGGGTATATTTATAGTAAGGTGGCCCCATTCGAAAAATTGACAATTTAAATCTCCCTAAGACTCCGGTAAATCTCCCTACCCACCTTGACCCGAACACACTCCACACCTCTTTCAATTGCACCCCCAAGTTAATTTTGACTTTAGAGTGAATACCGATTCGATCAATCCGATGAGAGAATATGTTTTATATGAATCCAATTTTCATTTCATATGGGAAAAGCCATCTTTTATTCAACAAAGTCTTAGCGTTGTCAGTTTGATGGGGATCATTCACCAAAATATCACCGGTAATATCAAAATAGATGGCAGGTGTTTGACTCCAAAGTCAAAATTATTTTGAAGGGTGCAATTGACACACCACCGCCACTGATTGACACACAATCACCAGTCCAACCTTTTGAACATGCGCATTCGTAGGACTTTTTCCTTGAACACTGAATCAAGGTATTATCACATTCTCATTTCTGATTCATTGTGTGAACGATTATCCTTTTAAGTTCTGTTGTTTTCGAGTTCAAATCTTCATGATTGTTATTATTTTCGATCTCACTGTGATACAGTTACATGTTCAAGCTGTTAGTGATCAATTCGAGTTTGAATCTGAAATTTAATCATACAATGCATATAATCAAAGACCGAATCTGTGAATTGACAAATCTGATCATGAATTGTGAGTAGTTGGCCTATGTTTGGTTCGATTAGGTGTTAGGCTTCTTTGTGGAACACATAGAAATGCTTAACACTAGTTGAGATTGAATGCTTGGTTGTTAACTGTTTTAGAACTTAATTAGGTGTCAAGCTAGTCACAAATGCCTCGTAGGATACGGTACTTGACTTGGAACACAACCTTTCAAATCATTTAACATGCTGAGGAGGAGTTTTAGCTAGTTGAACTAATTCCTAGGTACAAATGAAGTTCTCAGTGTTATTGCACTTTTTTGTTGGCTTTTTAGGCTGATCCTAGGGAGTTGGCAGTTAGGTAGTCTCAGTTGTGTTCTGCCACTCTAAAGTTTGTTGGGAATATTTGTCACTCTACATTTTGTCTAAGTATGTGCTCAAATATCTGTTCCAGTTGTATGTGAAGTCCATGGAAGCCACCGCCCACCGATCGAGACAGAATTATCTGGTCAACTTTTTGATCAGGCGGTTCTCCAATCAGAGGGATCATCACGTTCATAGCTGACAGCATCTCCTGTCCTCCGGCTAGTTAGACCACGCCACCGCCACTGATCGACACGCATTCCCCATCAGACCCGTTCGTAGGTGATATACCCCGGGTTACTACCAACAACTCTAAACATACCCCACATGATTTCCTTCATTGAATTAAAACATAAAAGACCAAAAATCATGTCAAACCACAAACATAGTCAAACCCTTCTTTGTCCCCATGTAAGGCTAAACTAGAGGCCAAAAACAACCCCTCTTTCATCCCCAAACATTGACCAACCATTGTCCCCCTTGTGTCTCCCACCTAGGCTGAATAAACAACAACAAAAGGACAAAATACTTTTGTGAGCTTATTGACACTCCACCAAAGCTTGTTGTTGGACATCTCTTTGAAAACCACAAACACTTCCCTCTCCCTCTCTTTTCTTTTGTTTTTCTTCGGCAATGGTAACAAAAAAAATAACCTTGTAGTGATTTTGGTTAAACAAGCTTTCCTTGCCATCCTTTTGGTCATTTCGGCCAAAAGCAACCACCACAGTACCTTGGTCATTTCGACCATCCCTCCTCCAAAACCTACCCTCACTACTCTCCCTTCAAACCACACCAAAAACTAGCCCCAAAACAACCCTTCATCACTCCTAACAGCCCTGCCCCAAAGCCAAAAACCAAATAGCCCTTACTTTCATCTCGGCAAAACCAACCATTTCTCTTACCCTTGTTCTCTTAAAACCATTTCAAGCTATTCACAAAACATGTCTCAAGTTGATTTAGCTACTGCCCAAAAGAAGCTAAAGAAGGAAGTTGAGCTAATGATGAAAAAAATCAAAGAGCTCACTAACTCAGTGGAAATCCCTGTGTTTGAAGGAAGAACTGATCCGGAAAAGTTCTTAAAATGATTAACAAAGGTTGAAAACATCTTTACACTCAAAGACGTACCCGAAGACGAGAAGGTCAAGTTAGTGGTGGAAAGGTTTCAAAGACATGCCTCCACTTGGTGGGCTAGCGTTGCTGCTAAACGGAAGCTTCAAGGAAAAGCTAAGGTGAGAACTTGGGAAAAGATGCAAAAACTCTTAATAAAGAAGTTTTTACCTAGAGATTGTACCGAAAAAAATACCCCAAACATCTTCCACCTTCACCTTTAAAACACATCCTTGTTCTATGGCCTTAAACACCACCAAACCC